AAAAAAAAAACCAGCAGGTTTTTAGGGCTCAGAAATCAGACTTCATAAATTTAGGAATCAGTAGATTTCGTAAATTTTTAGCCAAAATGACTCCACTTGCGCTGGTGAAGCTGGCGGCGCAATGTGCCGAATATTACCAGGAAGCGCAGAAGCAAATGCAACGAGATGCTCTGAGAGGCCTGTTTGACAAGGAATGGACAAACACGGTCACCGGCAAAGCCCTGGGTCTCTCGGCTCTCGCCCAGTATCATCAAGCAATGGCCAATGCCGATGCCAAAGATATTGGTTTGTTCATGCCTTCTAAAGTACTACTGTGCGAAGGGAATTTTTTCCCAGAACGCTCTAGCAATTAGCTGATTTTTTTATTCTGAATAATTCTGAACTTTTATTTTTGAATTTTTTTTTATCATTTCCCTGCTGACTCGCTTCTGCATCCACGCTGAAAAGCTGCTAACTCGTGAACCAGGAAAGCTAGAGAGCTGAAATTTTATGGAAATGCATTTTGAGACTTTTTTTCAATTTTTTCCCTCGCATGATTGATTTCAACTGTTCAGAATACAAGCGCTGAAAGCAGCACACTGCTATGGAATTCTGCTCCCGGTACCAAAAAATTGTGAGAAATTTGTAATTAGTATGCAGCGATGGTGAGATAAGGTAAATAGAATAAGATATTTTAATGTTAAAAGAACTAATAAAATGTTAAAAATACTTTTTTTAATGGTAAGAAATGTTTCGGTCCAAAAATCCTTTGTTATAAGTTTGTTTTAGGCGAGCAATTGAGTCGATTAACGGAGTCCCAATCACTGATGCAGCAAGCAATGAATTACCTACCACATGGGACATTCGATGCTCAGCAAGCGATCATTCAAAAAGCATATTCAACAGCCAAAAAAGACAACGATTTCATCGTAAATTTTGGATCGATCTTTTTTTTTTGAAAATCAAAAGGAACCAGAATATCTTGAATAATTTCTATTAATTACAGTACCATGAGCGTATTGCCGATTTTCGAACGCTCCCGGCTCTTCCGAAGGCTGCCGTTGCTAAGGCTACACCAGTTACTTTACCAATGACACCTCGATTTAAAGGTATTTATTTCGTTTCACCAAATTTTCTCTTTTTTATTCAATAAAGTTACAGTACTGATCGTTTAATCGGTCGGTGCATGAAGTGAAATGAAATGAAGGTTGTTAGGACCTAATTAAGTGAAATTGTTGATGAAGGAATGACCAAAAATTATATGTGTGTATGTGAAATATTGAATGGATGGGGCGGAAAATGGGCTATGCAGCTAAATTTTGGAGATTGAAAAGGATGGAGGTGATGATTTGCCCATGACTGTAGTGACTAAAAAAAAATTAAAAGGATACGAGGAGAAAATATTCACTTCTCGAAGAGATTTGACATGGGAAAAGCGGGAGGGGGGGGGGGGGGGGGGGGGTTTTT